GCCGGGGGGGCTGGAGGGGGAAGCCGTGCTCGGAGGCCCGCGAGCCGCCTCGCCCATGGGCCCCACTGATCCAGCAGGGTGCGCCGCTGGCTGCGTCTCTGGGAGCTCCTGGGTCCCGGGCGCCTCGCGGCGGCAGGGCCAGCGCTAGCCGGGCTCGGGGCGCAGGGCTGGGCCGGCGCGGAGCTAAGGCCCCGGGGAAGTGGGGACATGTGGCAGTCCTCTCCCCGCGTGGAGCTGGCACCGGGAGCCATCGTACCGTGTTGCCCAGGCCTCGAGGCTCAGGGCCCGGCCTGTGGGACACTAGTCAGAGTCTGGGGCTGATTGTGATTGGGTAAGTTCGCCACCCAGCAGGGTGCAGTGAGTTCTAGTTCATGGCTTGTTTGTGTGAGAAGTGCGTGTTTTTTTCCCCCTGGCCTGCAAAGGAGAAATTCATCTCGTCAGTGCGTTCCTTCCGGCATTCATTCATGAAATCGTGGCGTGCTGACATCAGCAGGCCTTCCCAAATGACGTTACTTCTTTGCTTCTCAAAGAAGCAATTATGGTTGCTTCTTGGGCTTCGGAGGACCACCCTTGGGTGTGTTTGTTACAGAATCTAAAATCAGATCCTTGCTGACTTTAATTAGGGGGTAGAAGAGCGCTTGCTTAGCATGCATGAGGCCCTGTGCTCAACAGCCAGCTCCGAATAAAAAATAGAAATAAAAAATAAAAAAATCGAAAGCTTCATTATCCTGCATTTTAATCTAGAGACTGTACCCAGTGTATCCATTTCAAGTACTCCTTTTAACAGATGAATGGTGTTTTGAAGACTGTGAGGGCTGTTTAACATTTGAATTTCCACAGGGCAGTTGGACCCAAGTTTGCAGGTTATCAAAAATACACCAAGAAAAAAAAAAGTAAAAACAGGGTAAGTCTAGTGTCTGGAAGAACTATTGGAGATCAATATTCAGACCCAATTTTGATGTGCCAGCAAGTTAGCGCATTGTGGTCCCATTCAGTCTACCCCAAGGGAAGCCACCTCTTGGTTTCAAATGTGCACACAACAAAACTGTTACTATCTCTAATATTTAAGCATCAGGGAAGAACTAACAGAAAATTATCAAATGTCTATGTATTAGATACCATAACTTTAATTTTAAAAATATAGCATAGGATATGTCCTGTGGGTTTGCATACTGTTTTTTTAGGCTGAGTAGATAGAATATAGACAAGTTGATAGTTTACAGGGGAGTAAGATGTTCAAAGTTATGCATGTAATGACAAATCAGTGTTTTGCTGGAGAACAGAGAAGCCTAAGGTTTAAGACATAATAACAACATAATATAAGAAACAAAGACCCTTTAGACTGTGTTTTGTATTCACCATGTTACTGCCTCATACTTCCTGGAAAGTGTTCATGTTAGCCATCCTGCGGTGAGGTCCCTCGTATCTTCTTCATGACCTTGGAGTCCACACTTGTAGGAGAATGGCTGCTGTGTTGTCAGTTTACAGAAGTGGGCGTTGAATTCAAGTGTCAGTGGTGGGCCCATCATGAAGATGATGTCAGGAAAGAATGACATTAAAGTCATCCATTACACCAAAGTTTTAAAGTTACTGGAGGGCATATTACTCACATCTAAATTATATTCCTTATTATTCAAAAAACATCTACTTGATGTTATATTGGTTGGTCTTGGGAAATCTGATTTGTAAGAATTTCTATGATTAAAAGTTGAATCACAATGTAAGTGATTTTAAATATGTCTTAGAAACAACTGAACAGCTCAAATAGAAAGTTGCTCTTTAGCACAAATGCTGGGCAGAGTGTGTGGCTCTGCCTCATATAGAGAGTCTCTGGGTTCAAGCCCAACAACACCAGATTAAAAAAGAGTGTAAAACCTTGTACTGTGCTATGTCCTTTTCTCTGTTCCCCTTTCACAGCTTTGCCTCAATTATTTAACTGTACCTACGAATGCAGGTAGCATGAATGGAAAATAACACAATTCTGTTAATCATTGTTGTACAAACAACATCAGTGGAAGGCAGATGTTCTTGGATAACCTCTGCAGATTGTGTTAATTTTTAAAAGCCCCCTTTGTGATAGAGGACTATAAGTATGGAGGGAAAGGCAGGGTATTTTCCATTTATATCAAAAATCCAAAAGTTAAAAGTTAGGTACCACTTTAACTAAAAGCAAAGCCAGCCTTTTTTCATGAAGCACACAGAGTAAGTGGTGTCTTTATCTTAAATACTGAAAGCTGGAGGTTTTTCCCAGTCTTAAGCTAATAGGTGTTTTATTTATGTGGAAATTTATGATTGCTACTAACAAACAAAAGTGGTTTACTGTTACACAAGCAGAAGATAGTTTGATGAGGGGGGAGTAAATGTTTTAGAAGGTTCATTGAAAAGGCATTTTAATGATTAACATGCCATGTTGTTTTAATAGTTTGCTTAGATTTTAGATATCCTAATTTTCCATTCAATTTTAGTATTGCAGAGCCCTTTAGAAGTCAGAATGCACACCAGACAATAGTAGCAAATCAGATGTTTGGATGGTCTCTGGACAATTCAAAATAGTTTGCTATATTTCAGAATTGATACTGGATCAACAATCACTGGCTGGCATGCTCATTGGGATTTGTTAAGTACAAAGGGGCTTGGTTAAGAGACACCGTGAACCCAGTTTGTGGTCCACTTGCCAAGCCCTAGACCTTGGAAAAGAACTATGTCAGAAGTCTGTCAATTATTCCTACAACTTCTTACTTTCTGACTTCTCCACAAACAATTGTTAATTATATATTCGGACCACATACATATTCATGTAGGTTATTGGCAACCTTGATTCTAAGAAAAATTAAAATAAGGAGTTCCTTGGCCTCGGTGACAAGGGAAGAGGAGTGACCCTGGACAACAGGGATTCTAAGTCAATGAAGGACACGTGTGATCATGTTAGAGCCTTGTCCCACTTCCTTGGTTTCCTTTCTTTTCAGAAGGGGGCTTTCTGAAGGACTGGGGAAGCGCAGTTCCACAAAGAGCAAAGATCCCCTGCCTACAAATTTTACAAGAAATGTGCAGAAAGCCATTGACAAGTATGCCAGGTAAGAAGTAATCATTGTCAGTGCTGCAGGTGTCCCAAGCAAAACTGTGCACAGTAAACATGGGGGAGGGGATCGGGTATATTACAAAGTGATTGTTAAACCAGTCTGCTGTGAACTCGGCAAATACATTTAAAGGAACAACGAGGAATCGAGCCTAGAGAAGTCAAGCCCATGCAGAATGTCTGCTCTTCCCAGCTCATATGTCTGTCACCTGTGTTCCCTCCTGCAGTGAGTCCCTTTCATCCTTCTCATCCAGTGGGAGCCACACACCCACGGAGGCCCACAATTCATGGCCTGGCTCTTCCACACAGAGTTCCACTACTGGATTGTCTACAGAGAGGAGCTCAGTTTCTTCTTGGAGAGATGATGTATGTCTTTTTTTAATTTCAGTTACCTGTGGGTATGGTTTATGGGGAATTCCCCCTAGTGATTTACTAGTTTGTGTCTGGGTGGGTCGGTGGGTGGACATACACTGAACTGTGGTGCCCATTCAGAAGTCAAAGGTCAGTTTTGCATATATATCTTCCTCTATCACTCTACACCTTTTTGATTTGGACAAGGTCTCTCACTAAACCTGGAATTAGTCCAGGATCAGCCTGTCTCTACCCCTCCCCCCAGGACTACAGGTGCATGCTCCCATACCCAGCCTTCACTTGGGTGCTAAGGATCCATAACAGGCCCTCACTGTACATAATGAGCTCTGCCCCCAGCCCTAAGAATTCCTTTCTTATATTCAGAAGGAATCTGTTTACATTTATCTAAGCATTATGAAGTATATCATACATATTATATATATATATATGCATTTATACGGTTACATGTAAGTATCAAAATGTCAAAATATAGAGAAAAATAAATTTTCTGATTAACTCATAGCCCAGAGTCATAGCTGTTGTTTTGTTTTTCACACCCCACAACCCCACCTGCCATTGCACTTTACTTTAAAAAGTATCCTGTGGCTAGAAACTTGAGATGAAACCTTTATGGTTAATGAAAGTAAGAGAAAGTTTTGGGAAAGCAAAAACTATGAAACATCTCCATGATTAGCGGACAGTGGCACACTCACATGGACCCTTGGCAAAGCCAAACATTTCACTTTCGCCTTCTAACTTGAGACAAGTCATCAACTTTATCCCTACTTTGGGTGTTTTGTGACTGTGGGATTCTCAGATAGGCAAGTTATTCAGCTAACAGTTCTGGTTTTGCTAAGATTTGCAGAATCCTTAGTCTCCTCTGTCCTTTCCCCATCCCCCAGGATGATGGCTATGGACAGATGAGTATCTGTATCTACGAGGAATCTTAAATGAGTCTCATACCTGATGCTGTAAACCTTATCTTTATTTAACAGTTAATGAATGTGAGGTATAATATAGGATGTCATTGTTCAGAAAAGTAAATATTGCTACACTGGTCTATCTGGTTACAGAGCCCACCATTTTAGCTTGTTTTACACCTTCTAATTTAGTGGTCTCCAATTTATAAATATTGATTGAGGAGCCCATGTTCTGTAACTTTTAGTGTGGTATCTATGTGATGAGATCAGGCGTTTCAGGGTAATGTGGCCATAAACTAACGTGGTGTTTGAATACGTACTTCCATTTCAGGAATTTGACAAAGTCAATGCTCAGAAAGTCCAGCAGCTGTTCTGGGAGGTTGAGGAAATGCTATTTGAAGAGAAAGTGAGTCCCCAGACCCAGAATCTCCTGGCCGAGTGCAGTGAGTGGGCAAGAAGATCCCTCCATCTCAGGTACAGAAGTGGCCATAAACATCTTCCTACTTGGGGGTTTGATCCACCCACAATTGATTTCCGTTTATTCAGACATTGTGACTGAGAGCGTTTACCAGTCACAGTATTATCCAGAATTCAGTCCCATCTTGACAGTCACATCCTTTTAGAGTAGGTCCCAAGGAAACCTTGACACATGGCAGCATCATATGCCTTTAACTTGTCAGAAGCAAATCCAGGTCATTCTCAGAAAGATGTCATATCCATGGCAGATGCAAGAATCTGAGGAGTGACCCTTTATCCTCACTTTATCCCTGAGTGGCAAGCATCTGTCATTACTGAGAGCTTGATGGCAGGGGAGGGGAGGAGGGATGGTAATGGTTATTCTACAGAGACCTGAGTGATCATTTGCTGGAAAACTGACTAGATGACCCTATTCTATCTCTACTTCACATCAAAGGAGACATTATTTTTTTATATATTCAAGATGGTGAAATTGTATATTTGGTGGAAAGGAAGTGTTGTTTTCTTCACCCAGCCTTGCTACTGAGGGAGAAACCTGTTTCAGTGTTCTTGAGTTCTGAGCTGAGGCGAATGAATTGGAATACTAACATAAATATATATGGTTTTTCTGATTAGCTTATCAAGGAAACTTTAAAAAAAATGTCTTAGCTCAGTGTGGTGATGCATGCCTGTAATCCTGGTATTTAGGAGGCTGATGGGGGGTTGTGAGATGAAAGCCAGCCTGGGATACATAGTGAGACCATGTTCTCAGAAAACACACACACACAAAAAAAAAAAAAAAACAACAAAAGCAACAACCAAACAGCCAACAACAAAGAAGGCTTGCCTAAGCAGTTTTAAGGAATTCTTTATAACCCTTATCTTAAAGAATATGCTATGTGCAGTGACTGTGAGAGTGCACTTTCCTGGGCATGGTGTACTTCTCAAAATATCATGTGCCCAGGCTTCTTTCTCTCACCATCATCTTACATTTGACCAGGAAAACCAAGCATGGAAGATAGAAACAGAAAAGGAACATAAGCCAAGTGTATATGTTTATGTATTTTTATTAACTGGGCCTATGCAAATTACCACCTGTAGCAAGTTGGACATACTCAGGTTGGACATACATTCTCTCTAAACCATCCATCACTCCTGCAAGATAACCATGATTCTGACTTGCTCCTGACCAATCAATAAATGAAATAAGTGGTGAAGGAGCTGGGCATCTCTGCTCACAGTCTCCTCCCAGACCCCGCACAGAATCATTCTGCCCTCTCCAAGCCTGAGTTTTTTCTCCATCACCATGGTGACTCTCTTGACCCACACACCCTGTGTGTCCTTCAGAGTCAGCGCTGCATCCTGTTTAAAATCATAAAACATTTTCCCTTTGTCTGGTCAAAGAAAATCCGCAGCCTGAAAAAGGGAAAGCATATCGACCCCAGAGGCTCTTTGAGGCCAGTACGGGACTGATCCAGCCCCTGATCATGGATGCCAATGGGGAGGCCCCTGCACTCCTGGAAGCCTCTGGAGGTGGACTGGCGTTTTGCCCTGGTGTGTGTGTGGGACTTTGAGAGCCCATCCCACTTGAAGGGATGTGCTCTGTCTCTGGACACATGGGGAGGGACCTAGGCCCAGCACAGGAAGATTTGGTGGACTTGGTGGAGCCCCTGTTGGGGGCCCTACCCTGCCTGGGGAGTGGTGGGTGGATGGGGTGGGGGTTAGGTTGGAGGTGGGGGAGAAGGTATGGGGGTGAGGGGAGGGAGAGGGGAATTACATGTGAAACAAGTCTGTTCCCTAACTTGAATTGGCTGATAGGAAGACAGCTCATCCCGCCAAGTGATGAAGGTTTCCGACATTTCCAGGGGAGCCTGCCTAGTTCTGCTACCCACAAACCCTTACCTCCTGTTCCTGGTCACATCAGAAACATCAGAGAGTAAGTTTATATATGTAGTTTGCACAAATACATACATACATACATACATACATACATACATACATACATACATACATACATACACACACACATAGTACCCAGCATGATAATATGCACATGTGATCTGAGCACTTGAGAGGTATAAGCAGAGGGATCCGGTAATTTTCAGCTGCTTTGCAAACTTGAGGCAAACCTGGGCTACATGAGACTGACTCAAAAAACTTAACCCAAAAATGTTTGTTAACTTTATTGTAGTTCTCCTTCAATGTTTAACTCTTTGGAGAGCCTTGGCTTCAACTAATTTGTGTGCAGAGTCAGATTAGTGGGGGACAGTGGTTTTCATGAGATGCTTCTGATTGATGCTTTGCCTTTAGATATGTTTGTGTGTACATGCATGAAAAACATACAAGTAACAAGCATGTAAGTACAGGGGAATTAATGTCAGTGTATTTTTAAGGACCCTAAAAGGTAACCTCATGCAGAATCAAACACCTGGTTGTGATGAGTTCTAAGCTTCAAGGCATGAGTGGAAGAAACAAAATTCCATCCTATTGTCTTTCAGTCATTTACATATTTTGGTGAATCCTTTTGATACCATGTATGCAAATGGGAGGTTGTTGTATCATATCCCTTTATAACTGCAAAGATAATCTGTTTACTATGTATACTGGTTTATGAGTTTAGACGTCTTTAAATTTTTTATGATTTCTGGGGTTAAATGTTTCAGAAGAAAGCTGGGTGTGGCAGCAGGTACCTGGAATTCCAGTGCTGGGGAGGTAGAGGCAGGCAAATTCCTGGAGCGCACTGGCCAGGTAACCTGGAGCCTTCTAGGCAAGCTCCAGGCTAAGGAGAGCACCCATCTCAAAATACAGGGTGGATAGCTCTTGAACCAAGACCCAAGGTTGTCCTCTGACTTCCACATTCAAACACACCCTTGATCAAGAGTATACACATGCGCGCGTGTGCATGCGCGCACACACACACGTTCAGAAAATGGGACTTTTGTCAAATGTAATATTTGGTGATGTTTCAGAGATTGTGTACCTTGTAGATAACTTATAAGCCTAAGACTGTCAAGAAAGCATTGTATCCTTTTGTTCTACAAACTCCCATGTAGAATGTTTTTGCTCCTAGGTTGTGTGTCTCTGGCTCTCAGATAGTCCCAGAGGCACCCTCAGCCTCTACTCTGACAGACCCTGATGGCACAGAGTTGACTGACCCCACATCATCCTCATCCCTAGAAGAAGAGGTGTACCACGTGGATGGAAACATGGAGGAATATTTTGCTTTTGACAGAAAACAGGAGTAAATTGAATTTTATTTGACATATAATATCAATATACCACATGCTTTTAGTATTCTGTGTTTGTTACTTATGAAAAATTCCTATTATCTTGAGAGAAATATACCCTCAAAGGTTTTAGATCCTTGCAGGGAGTGTAAATGCTAGAGCAGGGCAGTACTTCCTTCTCGGCACTGTGGTGAATAGAAAAGCAAGGGTTTGTCTAGCAAGATAGTGACAGTGGACAAGGACATTGGAGCTCCACGTTCCTTACACTTAGCTTCCTGGGGGATAGAGAGGAAGTTCCAATATTGATGCTAAATGCCTATTTTCTTTTAAACAGCTGTGACATATGAAACATTTGCCCCATGATTGAAATCAGTACATTAAAAAAGTAACTGGGTACTGAAGCAAGTCTTAGCAAGTATAAGAAGTCACATTGAGTATCTTTTCTGACCACCATGGCTTTCCTATAGAAATCCAGAAAATTCATCAAGAGAGAAGTTAGATACTCCTGAATTGTCAATCTGTTGCAAGACAAATGGTGACAGGAACACAGTACAGCAAAGTTGATGGCCCCCAACAACAGCAGCTTGAAAAGAGGGGTTTGTGACCCTAAATGCCATGTTTAGAAATAAAGGACCTGGACTGGTGTGAGGGCTCCTTGGGTAAAAATCTTTGCTGTGCAAGTCTAGTGTAACTGAGTTTGATCACTGGATTCTACAGTGGAATGACAGAGCCCATTCCTGAGAAGCTGTCTTCTGACTTCCACTTATATGCCATGGCACACATACCCACACAATACACATCATATAGACAGGCAGTAAGAAGATATAGGAATACAGAGAGACCTTTGGTAAGCCAATTCTACACATGAAGAATAGAAGAAACTAAACTTGCTGATAGTTAAGGAAATAACAAAGATCAGAGTAGAAATAAAGATTCAAGAAAAAAGAATTAAACATATTGATGAAGTTTTCATTTTTCTTCTCTGTTTTGTTTCCTCCAATTCTGTTGACATATATTTGACAAATTAAAATTGTATATTTTAAAAATAACAATGGGATGTTAACAAGGAATATGTCATATATAAAGATAGATGGTGATAGATGGACACACAGATAGATAGGTAGATGATAGATAGATAGATAGATAGATAGATAGATAGATAGATAGATAGACAAAAACACATAGATGATTATTTCAGCCTTAACCCTGGATATTCTAGTAATTTGAGTGGGTTTCATCCTTAGTGGAGATGAGCATCTGGAACAGAACCCAACACTCCGAGGCAGAAAGTGGCATCGACATGGGCTTCCTCCCATTTCCCCTCATGACTGTATCAGAGATGCTGTGGCAGCAGAAGTGTTCGATCATGTTTGGACCAATGTGGTAGAAATACTGGAAGATCTCACTAGAAGGACCTGGGAATCTGCACTCACAGGTACTTACTTACAGAGTTTGACCTCCTGGAAAGAATAGAAAAGACCAAACCACCACAGCTCACACTCCCCACCTCCTGTGTGGGCTGGACCCAAAACATGAGTGAAATAAGGAGTAACCATTCTGCTGTCTACACAGACAATCTTTGATCATATAAGAGGGGCATCATTGTTCTGGAGGCTCTTCCTTGTCCCATTGTATAATCTGTTCTCTGATCACTGAGAAGATCACCACAGTAGCCTGTTGTCCACTGGAGTCTCTGCCCTCTGCTGCAGGGTTGTTTAATCAATGTCTATGGTGTAAACTCATGGTAACTCAGGACATACATTTCTTGTTGATTTTTTCTGTTGACACAGATGAAAAAGCACATAAAGAAAAATTGAAAGTAACTGAACATAGACCTCCGCACGTGCTCGTGTCTCGTGTCAGCACTGATGTTCCCAGTGTCCCCCCATCTCGAAGCTCTGAGACACTCCATACATCCTTGGCTTCCCACTTTAATCCTCCCCAGGTACATGCACTGGCACCTGGTTTCTCTGTCCCTTGATTTATATTTCTATTATTTATATTCTGTGTTTTATATAACATATATACATATATATAATATATCAGATGCTTTGAGGAAGATAATGGTTGGATGAAACTAGTCACTAACTTAGTGAAACAAAATGGTAACACAGGGTCAGATACCATGCATTCTGTGAGGGGTGGGGAAGGAACGAAGAAATTGGGGAAGGGAGAAAGAGTGAGGGAGGAAAACTGAAGAATTGAGGAGAGAATCTGTGTCTTGATTAGAGGTGGAGGCTTGAGTTTTTAGAGGTGACACCTGAGTAGGAATTTGAAGAAATGAGTAGCATGGATGGGGTTTTGGGTTAGGACCTTTCAGACCCAGTATCATTGTGTGTCAGTGAAAACAGATGTATCTGAGACCAGCATTTGAATGGAGAGCTTAAATGACAGAACACTAGAAACCACAGGGCACTGGAGCAAACTCAGGGGGGTTAGAGGTAAGAGACGTGTGAGTTACCATTTCAGATGTGTTTACTCTTCTCCGCATTAGTCTCTTTATGTGTTGAGAAGAATATACGGTCTAATAATTGTTCTCAGGCTCATATTCTAGAAATATGAGAGAGTTCATGGCACAGAATCTGCATAAGTCCTCAGTGCAGTCTTCCATAATTTGTCTTTCTTTAAAGATGGAGCTGCAGGTGAGGCTAGAGAAGATTGGTGTACTCATGGGATATCATCAGGGTAGCAGCGAGTCTGAACATGATGCTTAACTCAGCTCATCTGTGTTGGGGAGCAGAATAAAAGGATGATTTGCAAGTTTTGTTCCAGAGCTATACACCCTTATCCCCCCCCCCACATAAACAAGAAGGAGCAGCACAGTTGCTAGCAGAGTGACTAAGGGTTTGTTCTTTACATCTAGGGTGCAAGTCTGGACCCTGGCATAATGTGAGTCCTTTTCCTGCAAAACCTCTGTGTCATTTGTGCAGTTGGAAGCTCTTAATGTATTTAAGCCTTTTACTAGTGTATCAAGTAGACACTAGGTATTGGCTTCTATTATAATCACATGCTAGTTATATGTTCCACTTAATTAAATTGCTTTAGATCATAAGTTTTGTGGGATTCAGAGAAAAAATTCATATCTTTTGCAAAGCTGTATAAGCCTAAATGATGAGTAAGATTTGTTAAACTGAGAGAGAAAGAAAGAAGTTAAGAAAGGAAGGATGAAAGGAAGAAACCCAAACAACAAAAAACCAAGAGGCAAAAACACAAACCTAGCTTGGAATACATAAACAGAAAACTTTGATAAGAATGAACAGAAATAGATATGAATGGGGTTTGTAGTTATATCTTGGCAGAGGGTCTGGGATGCGTTACACCCGGTAAAGCTTGTCTGCTAGTCTGGCTTTGCTGTCTAGCATAAGGCCTTACTGATAACCTTTCTTTGCTTTTCTGGTTTGAAAGTAATTTTTGAAGTTGCTACTTGCTTGCTATTGCTTTTGGTCTCTGATACATTCAACATAATAGTCCTTGCTTTGTTCCATATGAATATGAACTATATAAAGATGGCACCTATAGTTTTATTTATTTATAAAATGCAACATTTGGTACATTATTCCTCTCATTAGCTAATTGACTGCCTGCTGATTAATGTTACTGTTCTGTTTTTAGTTTTCTCAGCTCCATCGATTTTCCAGCAACTTCTACAGTGACTTGAGTGGTGTAATGACGATTCAAGCCAAACCCCTTCAGCAGAGACCCACCTACTTTGCAGATAAAATACAGTAAGTATTAAAGAATTACCTAGCATGCAAGGACAGAAACAGATTCTTCTAGTATCAGTCACCAGGTTAGAAGAGGAAAGGGGAGCATCCTGCTCTTCATTGACATGACAATAGAAATGTCCATTCCTTCAACATATTCTTCAGTGTGTTCTGTTGTTTTGTGTTTCCTGTCCTTAGGAAACTAGGTGTGAATTCTTAACTAGATTTTCATTCTCCAGGAATGAGCAAGATGACAAACTGTTCGGGGGAGGGATCGGTGCACCCTCACGTCACCGACTTGGCCGCATCCCAGACCCTCGAGGACCACCGACTTCTGCCAAGAAAACACCAGTGCATAGGAGACTGCCTTCAATTGCCTCAGACCCACAGAGACTGAAAACCCCCACCATCTACAGTGATGAAATTCTGAGGGGAACCAAACTGTGAGTCTTGTTTCTTTCATGGTAGACCTAAGACCACAAGGGCCACAGGCACTTGTCACTTAGGGTTGATGAACTGGTGGGTGTGGTGAAAGGATGCTCCATGTGATTTTACATCAGACTTTTCTAAATGAGTTCATCTGTTTGATTTTTGTTCCAGTGACACTGGTAGCTGTCTACTGGAATAAAAGCCCATGCAAATGTCTGAAGCCCAGGCCACTAGGGAAATTAAACTATGAAAAATGTAGAAAATGGGCTCTGTTATTCCTGGTGGCTATTGTTCTCCTGGAAAACAACATTTTCTCTCTAACTCCACATTGCTTTTTAGCATCTTGAATAAAACTTTGCAGTTGTCCTCTGTGCTTTTATAATTAATTGTACTCTTCATTGATTGTTCCACTCCACAAACCTCTATCATTACTATTCAGGATTAATAGTAATTAATAAATTAATGTTCAGAATCTGTACCACAGCACCTTATTATCTGCTATAGGGTTGTGCAGGCTTTACGTGCATTGTCATTAGCTCATCAGATGCGCCGGGGAGGATCTGTCCTGAACACTGCCATTCTGCACCCTTCCTAGCATAGCTGTGCACTCAATGCATGCAGGCTGGTATTCATTGCTCAACACGGTCAATGGGAACAGCTCTGCTTGACCTGGCTTCATATTTATCTTTCTGAAATTCAGATTGCTGTCATGGGTGCTGTTTCTACAAGCAGTTGCAATCACTAGCTCAGATCATCCCTTCTCTTCTGTCTACTCCAGTGTTTAGTTGTATGTTGTTGTGTTTACAGGCAAACTGGCATTGACCACCTGCCTTCCTCAGCAATTCCAACCTCCCGGAGTCGGTTACCCCCAATAGGCTCTGAGGCTGGGGAACTGAACACAGCAGCTTCTGGATCCCGCCCTGTCTCTGTAAGATGAATTCCATGTAATCACAACCATTTAGATTGTCTGTGGGAAAACAATCTTGGCATGCAGAGAAGTCAGTTGCACCAAAGAGTTATCTAGTTAGCTGTGTTCAACATGTCTTCACAATCTGCTTCTAGAAATTACTCTAGCGAGTAAGAAGACTTGTTCACTATTTTATGAAATAAACTCAGCTTGAACTAAGTGAGAAAGTCCAGGCATCAAGGAAAGACCTGAAACTCTGGCTGGTGTAGTGAAGACAAGAGACTAAGGGGCAAGAGACAGGCAGCTCTGCACTTCAGTGTGGCACATACATTCTGTGATTTGAAACAACTGAAGCCGTTACTTCAACGGCTCTCAGTTCTCATGTCTTTAGTTAGCAATAGCCACTCCTGCACCAAGGATTCCTTGCAAGCATTAGATACATTCATAAACTTTAAATGTCTTGCACCAAGTAAGACTCAGCAGATTGTAACAGTGCATTTTATATCTACTCCCTTTTTATAGCTAACATTTTCCATGTTTGCTCAGGGCAGAGGCCAATAGCCCAAGCCCAGCTCTGCCATGCAATTGTGGGACTGGGGAAGGAGTGCTACTAGCAGTGTGTATAAGCAGGCCTCTCCTAGGCTTACAGTGACTCCCCACTTCATTCTGATATGAACAATTGTATCTGCAGGACACAGAGGGTCCCAGTTGTAGGTACATAAAGCAGAGAAAAAAACAAAAGCTAAATATGGCTCACACACACACACACCTCAGGCAGAACTAGGACCCATTCCCAGAAAGCAAAAGCTATGGGGCTAGACTGTTTAATCCTAGGATAAAGCAATCAATGAAGCAGATGTCACAAAAACAAGTCTATGTTTCAAAAACAAGTCTGTTAAGCCAGGTGATGGTGGCTCATCCCTTTAATCCCAGCACTCAGAAGGCAGAGTCAGGCAAATCGCTGTGAGTTCCAGGCCAGCCTGGTCTACCAATCTTGTTCCAGGACTGTTACACAGAGAAACTCTGGCTGGAAACCTCCCCCTCAAAAAGGCTGTTTCATATTTAGTGTAATGTATTTACTACTACATATCTAGTATCATTTAATGTGTACAATTTTTTGTGGTTAAGGTCTCTGGACCTGACCTGTATCATATTACACTACATCTTCATTGAATTTAGTGATATGAATATATACTCCACACACAGACTCATGTTTAGATGTTCCATGTCCAATCTTACACTTAGCCATGTGTAAATCAAAATGTTTGAATAAGCCGGTGATTGAATACACGAGTGAATAATTGAAACATTTGTAGGTTTCTTTCTGTTGGTATAAAGATTAGATTTTTTTTTTCTTTAAAAGAACATATTATCTTCCATTTAGTACAGGGGAAGGCATCCACAAAACCGTGTGTTCAGCGCAATCCCTGACAGCATTGAACGGTCACCCCTTCGAGAAAGAACCATTGTCCTGGAACAGCTTTCAAGGCCCAGCACAACACATACATTCCAGGTAGGTTCTGTGTTTTCTCTAATTTCAATTTTAAATAAAAACTGAAAATAATGAGACTCACCCATGTTTTTCTTTTTCTCCCAACAGTCAGACACACCGAGAAAAGGGTCCCTGACGCCGATGGAGTTTGTTGCTCACACTTGGACAGGTCAAAGTATTTTGACAGGTTCGCATCTCCTTCGTGTAAAGGCAATGGGATCAGCGGGGTGTGGTGACATACTTCTGCCATCTCAGAGTTCAAGTGGCTGAGGCAGGAAGATGGAGGCCTTTCTGAGCTACACAGTGAGGGTATTGAGGGAAAAGAGGGAGGAAGGGAGAAGTAGGAAAGAAACAGGATGAGGAGAGGAGGACACACACACACACACACACACACACAGAGAGAGAGAGAGAGAGAGAGAGAGAGAGCAATGGTGCTATTTGTGAGATTGAAAATTTTCAGAAAATGAAATTGAAGACCATCTACTTCAATGCCCCTGTTTTGACCTTGTAGGAAGGAAGAACAGGTACATGTGGTCCTTGGTTGGCCTGACCTCAGACACCATGACAGACTAACATATGCCAGCTGCTGAGTGGCAAGTAGCAATGGGAGACATGTTCTTATTTAATTGGGACCTCGCTTTCCTAAAACAAAGGAAAGGCTGCCTTTCTCCCATTATGTTCTCATTCTTTCTCAATGAACCCGTATTCAGGATCGTCCATGAAAATCTAATGTGACAGTGCTTGAGAAAATTAATAGAGACTTGTTAAGTGTTTGGCAGTGTAGGGCTTTACATAAAAGAACTTATTCTGGGCCCAGTATGCTAGTGGCCAAAGAAAGTTCTAGTGGGGAGAGGGACCAGCAATGTTTTGATTTTTAAAGTGTCACCATATTTCTGTCCATGAATGGAGCATTGCCCTTGATGTACAGATCTATAAGCTTGGGCATGTCCCAACCTCTCTGGACCAGGTCTTCTGTTTTATATCAAGCCACGTGGCTAAAATAATCACTGGAAAATCCATGAAAAGGAAAAAATAGCTAGTTGCTAGACATACACCATTCACTCAGAATTATAAGCTGTTTGTGTTATGGACAGCTGAAATATTAAGGAAATGTATTGTTTAAAGAAAATTTAATAACTTATAGTTCTAAAATTAAATTAGGTTAGCATTGTATAAGACATTTGTTACTGTTTTAACCGGCCTTCTTTAGCCTAGTGACATTATGGATTTCAGAGTTTTTGTTTTAATGAGGAGAGAAATCCAGAGTTCTTTATGTATAAAGTAAATGGCCCTACCACTTGTTTATACCCTAAAACTTGCATTTTGAGAAAGTCATGTTATAGAGCTCAGGTTAGCCTTGAATTTATAATAATCTCCTGCATCATCCTTCCTGCTGCTACAAACACAGGTGTGTTGTGCCCATGGATGCTTAGGCCCTTAAAGTTTTGTTGTTTCATTGTTTAATAGCTTTTGGATTCTTTTTATCCTCCCTGGCAGTATTAATTGACCCATTAGTGATGGTAGTACTTTCTCTAAAGGGCAGACATGTTTCATGGTGTGGTGTGGTGTGGTGTGGTGTGGTGTGTGTGTGTGTGTGTGTTGTGTGTGTGTGTGTGGTGTGGTGTGTGGTACATGTGCATGCTGTCAGTTGTTCTCCTCAATCATGCCTCCCTCCTTCTTTAAGCCTTGGCTGGCTTGGAACTCACTATGTAGACCAAGCTGGTCTGAGACTTACAGACTTACAGACTACCTACCTCTGCCTCCCAAGTGCTGGGATTAAAGGTGTGTGCCACCACACTCAGTTACATCTTACTTTTTGAGATAGGTCTCTTGCTAAACTTGGAGCTCACCTATTGGCAAGACTGGCTGACAAGGAAGCCCCAAAGTGTCCACCTTTCTCTGCTTTCCCAGATCTGGGATTATAGGCATGTGTCACTATGCCTGGATTTTTCTGTATGTGCTGGAGATCCAAACTCAGATCCCAGTACTAGCATGATGAGCCCTTTATGGACTGAACCATCTCTCCAGCCCTATGGTTACTGCTTTGACCATAATTAGATGGCGAGGGGGAACCGAAGGTCTTCATGTTTGTTTATGATTAAATAATGATGTTCCAAGGAAGTACTTACTCTGTGACAAGAATGAAAGCTGGGATGCAGCATAGAGTACAGGTCTGGGCTGAATGTCATATGGCTCAATGACAGAGTGCTTGCCTGGCTTGTGGTATACCCTTGGTTCCGACACTAGCACTGAACAACAACAAAAATCAAGGTAGACTAGGTGGCTCAGTGGGTAAAAGTGCTTCTTTCTAGGCAAGTCAAATGACTTGAGTGTAATTCCAGGAATTCATGGTGGAAAGGGAGAAGTGATTCCCAAGTTGCCCCCCCCACCTCTTCAAGTGCACTGTGGTACATACAAACACACACACACACACACACACACACACACACACACACAAATTAAAATAATTCTCTTTTGAGAAAGGCTCTCATTATGTAATCCCGGATGCCCTGGAACTCACAGAGATCCACATCTCTCTGCTCCCCAAGTGCTGGAATTAACCACACTTAACACATAAAAAAAATGTTTTAATGGAGCATATTTTAGCCTGTGCTTTACGAAGCATCTAGTCTAATGGGAAAGATGGAAAAGGCCATGGGACAGATGAGCAGGACCACCTTCTGATAATCCTGGGCCTTAGACAGATCTCTGCAGAAAAAGTTCTTGTAAACCCCTCTGCTGTGGGAGGATGCATCTTAGCCCCTGGCTGGTTGCAGGATTGGGTGGAGGATTCTTTCCCCTTACTCAGGATTCTACATGATGGTGTTTGGGTATGATTACTTTGTAGTTTATGTAAATATGACATTAAATGAAATATTTTTAGTGTTCAAAATATGGTCTACATGGAACAGACAGAGCAATCTTTGGAGGCTGAATTTGAATCTTTTGCACCAAATGCCTGTGTCTCTTGTGTTTCAGGTTCACAGTATCTACCTAAATCTTATCAGAGGGCAACTTTGACTGCAAGAAAGAGGTTCCAAGTGGCATTGTGATATCACTGCTTCATAATTATGGGTTTGCTGGAACATGGGAAGCCTTGGCCACACCATTTGTCACTTGAAAAGTGTAGGAACAAATATTACCTGATATATAAACTCACCTCTCTCACTGACAGCAGGAGATGGCAGGATACCCAAGAGAAACACAAGTGAATAAGTAACTTAGTTTTGAACACTTGGCTTTGTAAAGAGAATAAAAACTAACCTCACTGACCCCTGTGGGAAGCATGCCTAAAGCTCCTGGGGCTCTAGTGCTTCGTTCAAAAGAAATTAAATTCCCTCTTTTCATCACGAAAACTCACATGAGTGTTCACATGTTGATAACATGGGTGCATTCAGTAAAAGCATGCCATTTCATAATTCTAGACCATCACATATAATTTGGTCTCATTCTCTTAATGATGCTATCCAAAGTAAAGAGCAGTCATATTTGAGACAATTTGCCCATTTGAAAAATATTCCGGTTCTTCTGTTCATTGTGCTGACTTTAAAATAATCACTGCAACGTATAAAGTGATAGGTTTAGTGATGACAAGATTTCTCACCCCACTGTAGTCATGAATATCTGAGAAATGTCTTGCAAGCCAATTGTACTAAAAAAAAAACAAAAAAAACAAGCAAACATGGTATCATTGTCAAATTTAGACAGTGCATTTAAAAGTACCCCACATTTAAAGGTGAATATAAGCATAATCAAAATCTTTTGCATATGGTTCCAACATTAACATTTCAGTTGGCATGTTTGATAACTGGGTGGGGGAGTTGTAGCACAAGCATCCTTATGTCATTCCAACTTATTCTTGGCTCTGATGTCAACAGAGCGTCTCTGAGCCCTTGCTGAAAGCAGCCTGCCCTTTGCGCTTTTCCTACTCTGTATTCTTCAGACCATGTGTCCCACTTGGTTATTACAGTCAGGGGAGTGGAGAACAGGGAATAAATGTCTTTTAGAGGCAAGGCCCGATTCTAGTGCTCAATCATGGTTCATTTCATATACACACATCCCAAATCAGAATAATTTCTCTCTTTTTTGGTTATATGCTTACACTACATCAACATAAATCTCTTTAATCTAAGATAAACTTTACATACATATACATATATGCACATACCATTTAAACATGTGAGAAATTTTTTTTTAGCACATTTCTTGCTGTAAGAAGTGGGGATCATTGATTGTCTACTTAGAGATGTTTGGGAATTGACCCATCTGTGGAAAATATCATTGGATCTGCTCTTTACATAGAACTACAGAACAATCAACCAGAAGTGACTTCAGAGCTTTGTTCTACCTGATAGTTTCTCCTTTACTCTCTCCACTTATTTACTACAACCCCAGGACAGGATAGAGAACAGACACTGGTCAAGTTGCTATATTGACCCTTCCTTTCAGATAGCCACTCTGAGTGTCACTCTCTCTACCTAGGGGGTGTGACAAGTGCTCAGTTTCTCACAGCAAGCTGACAAAAGCATTTAGAGAATTACCTGAACCATTTCTCATCATAAGATCTGGAAGCTCTTTGGAGAAAATATCAGTCTTAAAGCAATTGATCTCCACATAGAGGGGTTTCTGGATTGATGAGTGGCTAGAGTCCTGCCCACCAGGTGCCTGGCTGGTTGCTCTTCAGTCCACTATTACTGCTAATGGAGCCATCCACTGTGGTCTCTCACACCCACTCAGCGCACTTCATATCAATTCCTAGGTGCCATCCAACTGTTTCTCCCTCAACCCAAGGTTTAAAAAGGGAGGTAGCTATAGGGCATCTAATAAGATGGTGACCCCAAGATAAATTATTATCTTGGAGCCATGGAAATGATTTAATAGTGGTCTCACCATGTTTGCCTTCGGAGGTTTGAAATTGGATATGTACTATTTATATCAGCAAAGTACTGCAGTCAAACTAGAACCTGGTACAGTTTTTATCTTCCAGGCATTTTGATTGGGAAGCAAAGCACTGCTAGAGGGTAGCTAGACTCAGAGGTCTTACCAATTCTGAAGCGACTTTCTCCTGGAACTTATTTTCATGTCTGTGTTAAAGATATTTTATTTATAGGTGGAATAAGATTAGTAAGTTAACAAATGATGCTTGTGTGAGGATGATGCTGTTCAGACTGTAAAGGGAAAATCAGGGGAATGCTTCTACAATATTTGACTTTCATAAGTGAGCCTTAACTTAGGCTTTCTCTGGTAAAAATTGAAAACTGGAAATCACTTCAGAGAAAAACTTTCAAATGCAGGTTAGTGATATGAATTAACATATCTTTAATGTATCCCAAACCAAAGAAAGAGTGAAAGAATTTTAAAATAATTCAAGAAAATATGACATTTGGTGGAAAACAGCTAGATTTCTAAAGAATATAAAAGGGAGCACAGATCTTTATGCTTGTGTTACTCTGACTAGAATGGAGTTTCTTTACTAATTGAGAGGTTCACTTTGAACGCCATAAATCATTTCAGTATATTTTTATTATCATTGTTTTCTTATAATGATGGATGATTGTTCAGTAATTGTAATCATTTAATTTTTAATAAAATATAAAATGTTAACAGAGTTCTCAGAATTTCATTGACTTCATAAAAACATCCTTACATTCCCAATTTTTATGAGTTCTGTAACTATCCCTGACTTTGCAGTTTCTAACACAGAGGCATTTGTTCTTTTCTTTTTCTCTTTCTTTTTCTCTTCCTTTCTTCTTTCCTTCCTCCCCCCCTCTCGCTCTCTTTTTGAGTTATGGTTTCAGGTAATCCCAGGCTGGCTTCAAATTCTCTGTGCAGATGACCATGGCTCTGAACCGCTTGTCCTACCATCTCCACGGCCAAATTGCTAGAATTATTTCTCTATAACATTACAACCAGATTACTCAATTATTTTTAAGTAGACAGTCAACTTTTCCCAGAAATTTCAAAATAGACATGTAGGTAGTGAGAGGTTGAGCAAGAGCAGGAGAGTGAGCAGGGGAGAGAGTATGAGAGCAAGAGATTGATTTGTGGAAGTTTCTTTCATTTGTAAGTACTCCAAAGAAAACTTTGTTTTAGAAGGTGACATTCTATGTT